GGTATTTAGATGCAAAATTATGCACTTTCCCATCATTGTAACTTGTATAACATTTAAGCTACTACCCTGTTTCACAGTCTTTCGCTCGGTAGAGATCAGATCAGCTACAAATTGAAATTGAGGAAAAACGATTTTCCATAGTACCTGGCATAAGTATTAATAGGTGCTGTGGGGTATAGACAATGAAATCTTCAGTAATTCAGTCAGTCAGGACAAACAGTTTTATATATAGAGATATGGGGACTGAGAAACATCCCCAGTTTGAGCAGGATCTGTGTTGTCAAGACTTCATATGAAGCTACTTTCGCCTGTCTCTGATAATTAGAACTGCCTTTGCACAGTGCTTGGCATTCCGGCGCAGAACAATAAGGAAGAGCTCCCAACAGGGAGTTACATCAGCGGGCTCTGTCGTGTCTAGAATCTAGATTCTATAGGAAGCCACTTTTGGGTCTTTCTGATAGTGAGATTACAGTGTAGGCCATTCAGGTAGAATCTCTTGTGATATTTCATAATTTCTTTTAAGGAAACTATATTTGATGAAAGCATGTAGGAGATGCGTCGCATACTACTTGACAAGTCGATGATACCCTTTTCTAGCGAATACATTTCCAATTCAAATAAATGTTTTCTCTACCAGACTTTTGCTTTACATATTATATATATACACGTTTTTTTTTTATATATTTTTTCTGTTTTTTTTGTGCCCTGTTAATTACTGTTTGCTTCGCTGCGACTTTTTCTAATTAAAACTTGAAGCACAGATATTTGTGGGGCTTCAATATTTGGAATTATCTGTTTGGCTTATTAAAAATCGAATTTGTTCTTCATTCTATCTGCATTTAATGAGGCGGCACTTTAAATTCGACGCCTCGATGGTTTCATAAGCGTAGTTTTTACCATTAAATTTTTGTTATGCTTCTGTTTTATTTGCACGCGCACATTTTCACAATGGCTTTTAGCGATTATATCACAAAAAGGCGCACAACAATTGTGAATTGGCAAAAAGGCGGAATACGGAAAAAAAGTGTAAATAAAATAGCGTGAACTTTCAACTTTTTAAATAATACAACCTCCCTTCTACCCATTACACACGACATTCATTATGAAGAACAATTTGATGAGCGTTAAATTTTAATATCTATTTGAATGCTGCGTAAATTTGCGCAAATTGTTTGGAAATTAAATACGCGGCATAATTATTTCAAGCATTTGGTAAAAAACAAGAATTAAATAATGGAAATCTGCACAAGCCGACGTTTCTATACCCTAGCAGGCACATGCCTTAGTGCTTTGCAGATTTTTGAGATGAGAAATTTCATTTTAACGATAGAAAAAGTCATTTTCGCGCGCGACCGAGCCTTCATTTGATAACTATTGAGATATTGCTAAGACTTGGCTGACATGTGCAGAGAAAAGATTAATCTAGATATTTTGAATGGCCAAAAAGTCTTGTCTAAGCAAGGGCCTAGTCAAAGTTTCAGGGCGGAGTCTATAAACTGCGAGACTAGTTTGCATAGACAGCTGTATATCAAAGTAGTTGTTGATCAAGAATATATATATATATATATATATTTATTCCAGACACTTTATGACTTAATCTCAACACTTGCCGCAAGGTTAATAAAGTAAATTAGTTAATCAACTTATTTGTAAGCCATATGCTTATGCATACATATATTATAGCTATTTTGGTTGCATGTTCAGCAATTAGTTTGGCTACAAATTTCAATTATAAAATCATGTCTGTAGTCCATCAATAACAAGTCAATTTCATGGCATTCATTTCACACTTTAATTACACTAATTAACAACGAATTTTTTTCTTGTTTTGCGTGCTGTAATTACACGAAAAGCACTTGAAAGTTGGAAACGCTTTTAACGAGCAAAGGTTTTCCTTTCCCTTTCATTCGTGCCTTTTTTTTTTAATTTCAAATATTTGAAGCCATAAAAAAAAAACTGGCTAAGTAACTGAACTCAACTGATAGGCCAACTTCATATTGTATTTCCGGTGCCTTCGAGTACTTCCGCCTGCTGCTGGTTGTCGGCCGCTCAAGAACTCATATTTCTGGCCAACAATGGTAATGCAAACATTTTTTTTGGTGCCCTCTAAAAAGTGGGCCGAAAAACATGAAGGCAAATGGCCTTATAAAAATGGCCAACCGCCAGCAGTTGGCCACAGCAGGAAGGTAGTTTAAGGGGGCAATATCTTCAGTTCTCGCCGACTGCGCCGGCATCCGGCATATTTACATTTGAGAATCTGTGGCACAGTCTGTGCGGCATGCTTAGGGCGTACTCTCTATTGGGAGGGGGGGCGTGTGGCAAAAATATTTATATAGTTTATGGCCTGGGCCCTGCATTAAGCTTTGTGGCATATTTATGGGCGTGCATCAGGTTTTATGCGGCTGCCGCTGTCTATTTAATCGCGTATTTATGTTCAAGTGTTTTATTTGCGCACAGCTCAAAACTGGGCTATTTCATAAATTATATGCTAATCTATGGATAATTGCCTTTGGCCGATACCCAGCAATTATGGCCCTTTGCTTAAACAATAATCAGCCGCACGACAGTTGATCTTAGCTTCGATTTATCTGCGGGATGTGCCGCTCTTTGGCTTCCAAAGCCAACAGCGCTAGGGGCCATGCCACACTGAGCACACATAATTGTAGTGTTGCACGGCCTATACGCTATAGCTGCCACATGCCACTCCAAAGACAGTCGAAGCGTTGCCACACGCACACACACACACATACACACACTCATAACTGCGCAAAGTAGCGGCAGCATAAAGTAAACAAATTACGATGTTGACCTTCACTCGACGCTGGCAGCAAAAGTTTTGCCTTTGAATGGATGCGCCTCAATTGAGGCACAGAACACAGAACACAGAGCATAGAACAGAGTGTACAGGATGATAGAGGCACAGGCTCTGTGGCACAGACAATTTCCTTAGCATATTTATAGGCATTATTTTTCAATGATTTCAGCCAGAGACTTTGGCTCGTTAGCGGCCAGAGTTCTACTTGTTATGGAGCTGTTGTTGTGCGCGCAGATTTATGCTTTTCGAAAAGTTTTTTAACAATATCTAGAATTTACGATTGTACAAAGACACACACACACACAGACAAACACATAGTGGTTAGGTTAACTAACTGCTGCTGCACTGAGAGAAAAACGGCGTGCCGAAAATCTAGGCAAACTTAATGTTCTTTATTCTTATTCAAATTTCGAGCAAAATTCTCCATTTTTATAATCCTTGCGATTAGATAGTGAGAATATCTGCGGATATGCCAAAGATTTTATATCCTTGCAGACTTTTGCCTTTTGCTGTTTATGAGCATAGTAAAGCTCGTAAATGTTTAGTTCGATGAAAATATCTTAGAAACAGAATAATTCTTGCTATACAAGCACCTTTTTTTGGACTGAAAGCTCTTATGATTTAATGGTACGATGTTGATAAGATTTTGCATACATATAGATAGGCAGCATAGTGAAAAGTGTAAAGACCGGGCTTAGCTAGGATATTTCAATAAACAAAAAAGTTGTCTGTTCAATAACCTACATCTCGACCGATCGTTTCTATAGCAGCTATGTGATTATAGTGGTCCGATTTGGTCAGTTCTGATATATATATTCTGCATGCAACCCATAAAAAGTTCCAAGAATATAGCTTCAAAACTGAGAGACATATTCGCAAGGATCGGACGGACAGACTGACTTGGCCATATCAACTCGACTGTCGATGCTAATCAGGAATATATATTCCTTATGGGGTCTTTAATATTTTTAATTCTTATATTTTTTTTTTATATATTTTATATTTTATGTTTAAAAATGTTCCTGAAGTAGGAAACTCCTTTTGCGAAATTACTTTTGCTTTGATTTGATGAGGCTTTCCAAATTTCTCTTAGTGCGGTGTTTTTGGATCTTTGTTGTTTTGATTTAGTAAGCCCAGTTGGACATTTAATTAGTGTCGCCAGAAAGTCGACAAAACTCGATAAATAAGCCGGCTATTACGGAGCGGACAGGCAGCCCCTTAGCAGCCAGTTTGGCCCATGGCCCTTGGCCCTATTAAAAGCACTTGGCCTTCATTTTGGCCGGGCTGGCTGGCCCTGATGAGCCTGCAAATGGACTCATTCAAAATGCTTGCACTGCATTCAGATGAATTGCTGCTCGCATTCACACACTCGCCAAATGTGGAATTCGAAAGTCAACGAACTTGTTAGGCCCTCAGCTTCTATGGCCATAGGCATTTCTTTTTACATTTACATTTTAAAGATATTTATCAGCGGCGCGTTTATTGAACAAATTTAAATATTTATTTGATGCGCGGCGGCTAACTGTCACCAGAGCAGCGACTCCACAAATTGACAAACGGACAAATTGATGTTAAACATGTTAAAAGCTCGTCAATATATATATATGTATATATATATATATATATATGCGTATGTATATAGAGCGCGTTTCATTTCGGCATGCACAAAACTTTATTTCCAGCGTCCTGGGCAATTATCGGCGACTGACAAGTCTGCATTTGACAATTGTGTTAATGAGCCTCAGCCAAATGTCAATTTCAGTTGAAAAATCGAAAACAAGCTCCCGCAGCGACGTTGAAAATAATTTTTAAAAATATCATTATATACCAAAGACATAAATACGGACAGCTTTTGTTAACAGATTGGCAATCATTTTGCGCAGTTGCTCAGCTTAAAGATGCGCGGTCTAGAGTATTTTTAAGGATTTATAGGTTTGAGATATAGATACTCCACTTAAAACATAATATCTTTATTTCGTACACCTCATGTGTGCTCCTCCACCTTCATATATTCCATTTCATTTTGTCCCAAATCCTATCCAAGATTTATCTGCCATAGCATTCGTTTCATCAAGCTTCTACAAAAGCATATTAAATTCTATTTATATTGTGTGCCAGTTTAACTTTATTTTTGATCGATATTAAATGAACTTTTTTAAAATCATTTAAGTTGAATAAATCCTCTTTAGAAGCAGACAATGCCCAGTGGAATTATTTTCTTGCAGATTTGCGACTGGGGTGTTGTGGGTGGCCTAGTTGGGCGTCTGGTGGGCCTGGGCGTAGGACGTCCGGGTTTGGGGTAGCCGGGATAGGGGTAGCCAGGATAGGGATAGCCAGGATACGGATAACCAGGATACGGATAACCAGGATATGGACCGGGATTACCTGGGTGGCCAGGATGTGAACCGGGATGACCAGGATGACCAGGGTGGTCAGGATGCTGTGGATGACCAGGATGCGGTTGCGGTGGTGGTGGTGGTGGCGGCGGTGGTGGCACTGGATCTTGGGGATCTTCGGGATCTTCCGGTCTTGGCGGTGGTCTTGGATGGTGCGGATAGCTTGGATAGCCATAGGGCCAGTCCGGGTAATATGGATAGCTGGGATAACTGGGATAGCTGGGATAGCTGGGATAACTTGGATAGAAGGGATATATCAAAATCCGCTTTTGACTCTGACGTGTCGCATCAATGGAGTTAAGTTCCTGTTCGGCTTCACTGCTCGGATCATTCAGATAATCATCTTCTGTATACGCATCCTGATCCTCGATGCTGTCCTGCTGAACATCCTTGGCCACAGCCAAGCAGCAGCAAAGTGCTAGCAACAGGCAGAGAGCCAATTTCGAGCTCATTTCTGAAGCGTTTGTGTCGAACTGATTAATTGCTGGCTTGTCATTTGTATTTATACCCCATTTTGTCTAGTTGCACACAAAAGGCGTTCGGATTTTTTGTGGGATAACTTAATTCACATATCACAGATCTGACAGAGATCTGCTCACAGCCTCTGCAAAAGGCGCGCGGGCAACGCCCAAAGTGAAAACTTTCTTTGGCCAATTTCAAATGCGAATCTTTGCGACATTTGCATGCAAATCAGTTGAGCTATTAAATTGAAATCAGTCTAGAACATATCAGAACTCGCCCACTTTCTTCGCATGTAAAACCAAATCAGTCCTAACGGGTTTTTTCCTCAAGCCATATACATATATGTCATATATATTAAAGTCAACAAAAGAAAGCGTTCAAGAAATACTTTTTTGGATTTGATATCGAAGATCAAGTGTGCTTTAAGTTCGAATAATAATTAAATATTACGTAATATTATGCATAGAAAAAGGCTAAAATATATCTTTCTACATACAAGAATTGATCTTGACTGTGTGACGGGCTGAGAATAGTTGAAAAAGTCCTCCTCGAAGATGGGAAAAATGTTGGCAAAAGCTTCTACAAGCGTCGAACTAATAAGATCGCCGGTTCAAATCGAGCAATGTTTTCAAATATAACAAGAATTATGTTCCGAGACTTAGATGTCAAATGATGCCAATGATCTAAAGGCCACATCATGAACAAAAAGCCAAAACTCGTGTAAATCATTCAAGACAAACAGTTACATATATAGAGATTATGGAATTTATCAATCACTTACTTTCTAGATCGAACAACCATGCAAACAAACAATATTTGCTTCAATTCAAATAAGAAAATTTGTTTTTATTTAATTACAAAGGACCTTTTTTCTGAGCAACAAGTGGAACAAGGAACGAGTTTCAAGCATTATAGGGAAATGCGTTGAGACGTGGAGGTTATTGTTAATTTCAGTTCACTTAATCGTCATTTGCCCCATGCTACGTCAGGTAATGTCTTCTAGAAGAATCTATAGACAATGCACAGAAATGTAAACCTAAAGAACTGAGTCGTAAACAATGGTTTGTAGCCAAAATATTACTGTAACCCAGCTAAAACTTAAATAAACAACACAAATAATTTTTTATAGATATTTTTTATACCCTGAACCCAGCGTACCACCCCCATATCTCGGCCAAATCTAATCCGATTTCCACGAAATTTGGCTTTTTCTTCATGGTTTTCCCTCTAGATTAATCTGGCATTCAAATCTGAACACCGATTTTTTAGTCGAAATTCATGTCTAAATCTTACCCCAAGATTCGTATCTAGATATGGGTCAAAAATTACCACCCCCATAACTCGGTCAAAGAAGTTTGGCTTTTTCTCCATGGGTTTCCCTCTAGATTAATCTGGCATTCAAATCTGAACACCGATTTTTTAGTCGAAATTCATGTCCAAATCTTACCCCAAGATTCGTATATAGACATGAGTCAAAATTTACCACCCCCATAACTCGGTCAAATCTCATCCGATTTCCACGAAGTTTGGCTTTTTCTTCATGGTTTTCCCTCTTAATTAATCTGGCATTCAAATCTGAACACCGATTTTTTAGTCGAAATTCATGTCCAAATCTTACCCCAAGATTCGTATATAGACATGGGTCAAAATCTACCACTCCCATAACTCGGTCAAATCTCATCCGATATCCACGAAGTTTGGCTTTTTCTTCATGGTTTTCCCTCTAGATTAATCTGGCATTCAAATCTGAACACCGATTTTTTAGTCGAAATTCATGTCTAAATCTTACCCCAAGATTCGTATCTAGATATGGGTCAAAATTTACCACCCCCATAACTCGGTCAAATCTCATCCGATTTCCACGAAGTTTGGCTTTTTCTTCATGGTTTTCTCTCTAGATTAATCTGGCATTCAAATCTGAACACCGATTTTTTAGTCGAAATTCATGTCCAAATCTTACCCCAAGATTCGTATCTAGATATGGGTCAAAATTTACCGCCCCCATAACTCGGTCAAATCTCATCCGATTTCCACGAAGTTTGGCTTTTTCTTCATGGTTTTCCATCTAGATTAATCTGCCATTCAAATCTGAACACCGATTTTTTAGTCGAAATTCATGTCCAAATCTTACCCCAAGATTCGTATATAGACATGGGTCAAAATCTACCACTCCCATAACTCGGTCAAATCTCATCCGATATCCACGAAGTTTGGCTTTTTCTTCATGGTTTTCCCTCTAGATTAATCTGGCATTCAAATCTGAACACCGATTTTTTAGTCGAAATTCATGTCTAAATCTTACCCCAAGATTCGTATCTAGATATGGGTCAAAATTTACCACCCCCATAACTCGGTCAAATCTCATCCGATTTCCACGAAGTTTGGCTTTTTCTTCATGGTTTTCTCTCTAGATTAATCTGGCATTCAAATCTGAACACCGATTTTTTAGTCGAAATTCATGTCCAAATCTTACCCCAAGATTCGTATCTAGACATGGGTCAAAATTTACCACCCCCATAACTCGGTCAAATCTCATCCGATTTCCACGAAGTTTGGCTTTTTCTTCATGGTTTTCCCTCTAAATTAATCTGGCATTCAAATCTGAACACCGATTTTTTGCTCGAAATTCATGTCCAAATCTTACCCCAAAATTCGTATATAGACATGGGTCAAAATTTACCACCCCCATAACTCGGTCAAATCTCATCCGATTTCCACGAAGTTTGGCTTTTTCTCCATGGTTTTCCCTCTAGATTAATTTGGCATTCAAATCTGAACACCGATTTTTTAGTCGAAATTCATGTCCAAATCTTACCCCAAGATTCGTATCTAGACATGGGTCAAAATTTACCACCCCCATAACTCGGTCAAATCTCATCCGATTTTCACGAAGTTTGGCTTTTTCTTCATGGTTTTCTCTCTAGATTAATCTGGCATTCAAATCTGAACACCGATTTTTTAGTCGAAATTCATGTCCAAATCTTACCCCAAGATTCGTATATAGACATGGGTCAAAATCTACCACTCCCATAACTCGGTCAAATCTCATCCGATATCCACGAAGTTTGGCTTTTTCTTCATGGTTTTCCCTCTAGATTAATCTGGCATTCAAATCTGAACACCGATTTTTTAGTCGAAATTCATGTCTAAATCTTACCCCAAGATTCGTATATAGACATGGGTCAAAATTTACCACCCCCATAACTCGGTCAAATCTCATCCGATTTCCACGAAGTTTGGCTTTTTCTCCATGGTTTTCCCTCTAGATTAATTTGGCATTCAAATCTGAACACCGATTTTTTAGTCGAAATTCATGTCCAAATCTTACCCCAAGATTCGTATCTAGACATGGGTCAAAATTTACCACCCCCATAACTCGGTCAAATCTCATCCGATTTTCACGAAGTTTGGCTTTTTCTTCATGGTTTTCTCTCTAGATTAATCTGGCATTCAAATCTGAACACCGATTTTTTAGTCGAAATTCATGTCCAAATCTTACCCCAAGATTCGTATATAGACATGGGTCAAAATCTACCACTCCCATAACTCGGTCAAATCTCATCCGATATCCACGAAGTTTGGCTTTTTCTTCATGGTTTTCCCTCTAGATTAATCTGGCATTCAAATCTGAACACCGATTTTTTAGTCGAAATTCATGTCTAAATCTTACCCCAAGATTCGTATATAGACATTGGTCAAAAATTACCACCCCCATAACTCGGCCAAATCTCATCCGATTTCCACGAAGTTTGGCTTTTTCTTCATGGTTTTCTCTCTAGATTAATCTGGCATTCAAATCTGAACACCGATTTTTTAGTCGAAATTCATGTCCAAATCTTACCCCAAGATTCGTATATAGACATGGGTCAAAATCTACCACTCCCATAACTCGGTCAAATCTCATCCGATATCCACGAAGTTTGGCTTTTTCTTCATGGTTTTCCCTCTAGATTAATCTGGCATTCAAATCTGAACACCGATTTTTTAGTCGAAATTCATGTCTAAATCTTACCCCAAGATTCGTATATAGACATGGGTCAAAAATTACCACCCCCATAACTCGGTCAAATCTCATCCGATTTCCACGAAGTTTGGCTTTTTCTCCATGGTTTTCCCTCTAGATTAATCTGGCATTCAAATCTAAACACCGATTTTTTAGTCGAAATTCATGTCCAAATCTTACCCCAAGATTCGTATATAGACATGGGTCAAAATTTACCACCCCCATAACTCGGTCAAATCTCATCCGATTTTCACGAAGTTTGGCTTTTTCTTCATGGTTTTCCCTCTAGATTAATCTGGCATTCAAATCTGAACACCGATTTTTTAGTCGAAATTCATGTCCAAATCTTACCCCAAGATTCGTATATAGACATGGGTCAAAATTTACCACCCCCATATCTCGGTCAAATCTCATCCGATTTTCACGAAGTTTGGCTTTTTCTTCATGGTTTTCCCTCTAGATTAATCTGGCATTCAAATCTGAACACCGATTTTTTAGTCGAAATTCATGTCCAAATCTTACCCCAAGATTCGTATATAGACATGGGTCAAAATTTACCACCCCCATATCTCGGCCAAATCTCATCCGATTTTCACGAAGTTTGGCTTTTTCTTTATGGTTTTCCCACTAGATTAATCTGGCATTCAAATCTGAACACCGATTTTTTAGTCGAAATTCATGTCCAAATCTTACCCCAAGATTCGTATATAGACATGGGTCAAAATTTACCACACCCATATCTCGGTCAAATCTCATCCGATTTTCACGAAGTTTGGCTTTTTCTTCATGGTTTTCCCTCTAGATTAATCTGGCATTCAAATCTGAACACCGATTTTTTAGTCGAAATTCATGTCCAAATCTTACCCCAAGATTCGTATATATGTAGACATGGGTCAAAATTTACCACCCCCATAACTCGGTCAAATCTCATCCGATTTTCACGAAGTTTGGCTTTTTCTTCATGGTTTTCCCTCTAGATTAATCTGGCATTCAAATCTGAACACCGATTTTATAGTCGAAATTCATGTCCAAATCTTACCCCAAGATTCGTATATAGACATGGGTCAAAATTTACCACCCCCATAACTCGGTCAAATCTCATCCGATTTCCACGAAGTTTGGCTTTTTCTTCATGGTTTTCCCTCTAGATTAATCTGGCATTCAAATCTGAACACCGATTTTTTAGTCGAAATTCATGTCCAAATCTTACCCCAAAATTCGTATATAGACATGGGTCAAAATTTACCACCCCCATATCTCGTCCAAATCTCATCCGATTTTCACGAAGTTTGGCTTTTTCTTCATGGTTTTCCCTCTAGATTAATCTGGCATTCAAATCTGAACACCGATTTTTTAGTCGAAATTCATGTCCAAATCTTACCCCAAGATTCGTATATAGACATGGGTCAAAATTTACCACCCCCATATCTCGGCCAAATCTCATCCGATTTTCACGAAGTTTGGCTTTTTATACCCTGAACCCATTAAAAATGAGTTTATATTGTATTTGTGCGAAAGCCAAACATGCAGAAGGAAGCAACTCTGTCCCCATAAAGTATATATATTCTTGATCAGTATAAATAGCTGAGTCGATCTAGCCATGTCCGTCTTTCTGTCCGTCCGTCCGTCCGTATGTATGTATGAACGCAAGGATCTCAGAACCTATAAGAGCTAGAGACTTGAAATTTTAGATGTAGATGCTCCTAGCTCCCGCGCAGATCGAGTTTGTTTCCGATAATCGATAACTTACTCCGTTTCCAAGCAATCGATAAAACTCGTTATTGATATCCCGTTTTTTGGGCAATTTTACTAAATAATAAGAGCTAGAGTCACCAAACTTGACATATAGCTTCTAAAATAGAATATATTTATATACATTTGATGTTGGAGGACGAGGGTTCAGGGTATCCCCTTGTCGGAAGCTCCCGACTAGAACCTATTACTTGTTTTTATATTCATTCGTTTAATTTATTTATAAATTTGTTCCTAATTATCGTCTAAATATGTGCACACTTTGCCAAAGGGAATGATCACCTTGCATACCTTTGTTCTTTGCGAATCAGGTCGTGGTGCTGGTGTCGGTCTTGGCCTGGGCCGAGGATGAGGATGGTGCTCTGGGTAACCTGGATGCGGGTAGCTAGGATACAGGTAGCCAGGGTAGGGGTAACCAGGAAAGGGGAGGCCTGGGTACGGAAAGCCGGGATAGGGGAAACCAGGAAATGGGTAACCAGGATATGTGGGATATGGATAAGGATATGGATGAGGATGCCCATGTCCAGGATATCCATGACCGGGATATTCATGACCGGGATATTCATGACCGGGATATTCATGACCGGGATGCCCATGCCCGGGGTGTTCGTGTCCGGGATGTCCATGTCCGGGGTGTTCATGTCCGGGGTGTTCGTGTCCGGGATGTCCATGTCCGGGGTGTTCGTGTCCGGAATGCCCATGTCCGGAATGTCCATGACCAGGATGTTCATGCCCGTGGTGTCCATGTCCGGAATGTCCATGTCCGAGATGTCCATGACCAGGATGTTCATGCCCGTGGTGTCCATGTCCATGATGTCCATGTCCAGGATGCTCATTTCCGTTGTGTCCATTTCCGTGATGACCATTTTCGGTATCGGCTGGTGGATCTGCCCGAGTTACCAGTGAAGTCTTGACGGCCGTCGTCGGATAGTATGAGTTAGGCATATTCCAGTAAAAGGGATACGAGCTGGGCACTCCCTCACGCTTAGATCCAACAGTGTCCGTGGCATCCTCATCGGGGCTGCCGACGCTGCCTTCCTCCTTGATGGTGCTGGGATCGCTGAAATAGTTTTCGGCAACATACACATCCTGATTCTCGATGCTAGCACCCTCTATCTTGTAGACCGTCGTCTCAGCGTCATCCGTGGCCGCAGCCAGGCCGCAGCAGAGGACCAACAGAAGGCAGAGATCAAATTTCAAGCTCATGATGAGAGCAGACAGTTGGAACTGATTGACAGAACAGTGTACTTTAGTTTATATACTTTTAGCTAGATGAATTTGCGAAAGATGAATTTGTTACAGTTAAGCACAATGTTGTTTGTACTGAACATAAAGGCCACGCTCAATGTGGAGCATTAACATGAAAATCAGTTAAGCTTCTTAAATGAGGCAGCTGAGAACTTGGCTGTATGGCAGCTCTACTCTGATTGCTTCGCAGATTGACTTCATTTGCAAATGATTCATATTTAAATAATAAATGACAACTCTAGAAGTTTAAGCAATAAATTTATAACTAGATAATTTGATAACAAAAACTGATACAGTTTAGTCTTTCGAGTAGAATTTATTATGCTTCACGAGAATTTAAATTAATTGGCTCTATGTCAACTTCTTAACTGTTTAGCATGAAGTTGTGAACCAATCGGTGAAAGAGCAAAACTTCGGCTATCAAATGCAAATTTGGAATGATTCGTTGAAACAGATTCGATTTCTAAAATCTAAAATATTTGCTAGTAAATTAAAATGAATTATTACTGAGCGGATTATTAATTGGTTTCATTTCGAAACTTTCCAACTAACTTTTACTATTACTATTTGTTCATCTAGACTTCATGCTAATGGCTCGATTATTTATCAAGGTTTTTCAACCAGGTAGATAGTAGATTATCAAAAGCCTTTGTTTCATATTTATATACATATATTTATCTAAGTTGATTGGTCGAAACATTTCTAATCAACATGAAAGTGTATAGCTGGTGTGCAAAGAAGACCGATGCCTGCGATTTTCATGCAGATTCTTTTGGACTCTGGCCTTCGTGTGGGATAAGGATGGCTGGGATACGGATAGCCTGGATAAGGATAGCCCGGATGTGGATAAGGTCCAGGATGCGGATGATGTGTAGGATGGGGACTGTGTGTAGGATGAGGCTGATGTGTAGGATGAGGCCGATGTGTAGGATGAGGACGATGTGTCGGATGCGGTCCTGGATGCGGACGCGGTGGCCGTGGTTCAGGTGCCGGCACCGGCGGGCAAGGATAGCCCGGATAATAGTAGACACGATTCTGATAGGTTACATTGCAATAGTTGGGATAAGCGCCAGATTGCCACTGAATTGCCTCAACTGCATATTCGTCCACTCCGCCCTCGCCGACTATATCTTCCTCATATGGTTCCGATGCATAGTCTTCATCGTAGTCCTCCTCAATGGGCTGCGCAACCGCAGAAGCACAGCAGAGCGCCAAAGCCATTAGGCACAAGGCCACTTTCGAGCTCATTTCGTAAACGCTTCTTTCTTAATGTCCGAATGGATCTCTCGCAAATACGTTTTTATAGACAAAAGGTATGTATATATTAAATGGCCACAGTATCGTCCAATCGATTCATGCATTCAGCATGTGCCCACACTTAACCCAATTTCGCCAGCTAAGGGCCTAAACGAACTATTCTTATGCAAATCAGATCAGCTAATTTAGTCAGCTTAGAACACCCAACAAATTCCACAGTGATGGAAATCAAAGCATGTCAAATCAAATTTTTGTTCGGCGCTATAAATATTTATTCGAATATGCAAATCGTGATCACAAACTAATTAATGCATGACTGTCAACATGTGTTATGTGGATATTTAAGTTCTACAGCTGTTTACGTTTCTTTTTATTAAAAAAATTAATGGCTCAGAAATGTTCACAGTTTAAGAGTTAATAGTTGTTTAATACCCGCGGGCTGTAAATTTAGTTATGTGAAGAATGAGCGCAAAATGTTGGGCGGCTTATAAATCGCAAATTTACCAGCTGTTTGCAAGTGCTTAGCCGAAGGATAACTTCGGCTATATTGTATTTGTGCAAAATCCAAATGTATGTAACAAGCAGAAGGAAGCATCTCCGACCCCATAAAGTATATATATTCTTGATCAGCACCAATAGCCCAGTCGATCTAGCCATGTCCGTCTGTCTGTCCGTCTGTCTGTTCGTCAGTCCGTCTGTCCGTCCGTATGTAAGAACGCAAGGATCTCTTGAATTGAAGAATTGAAATTTTAGATGTAGATGCTCCTAGTTCCCGCGCAGATCGAGCTTGTTTCCGATAATCATTAACTTGCTCCGTTTCCAAGCAATCGATAAAAATCGATAACGATATCCTGTTTTTTGGGAAATTTTGGTAAATAATAAGAGATAGAGTCACCAAACTTGACATATAGCTTCTAAAATAAAATATATATATATGCATTTGATGTTGGAAGAAGAGGGTTCAGGGTATCCCCTAGTCGGGAGCTCCCGACTAGAATCTCTTACTTGTTCTATAGTTAAATATGGGTATAAAGTGTAAATCTTCAGGAGTATTTGAACTAATAAGACGTATATTCCAATTACTTTTTAATTCCTCTTTTCTAATTAGTCTTGTTTTACTGCTGAACTTTTGGAAATTGGCTTGTTTTCTTCTTTTTTTTAAGTATCTAGCTCATGGATAAAGCGCAACAATTTATAAGAGCACTAGAGATTAGAGAATTTGTTGCCTCGCAGAGCTCATAAAAGCTTGAAAGATTTTGCAGTGTTCAGTGGCGGAAACTTGGAAGTATCTTATATTCGATTATCGACAGTCCAGATAAAACTGAGTTGAGCTCAGCCTGCTTGAAGAAATAATCTTCAACGTTTGCCAAACAAATCGCAGTCAATGTTCAGTCTTGGAATAGCTCTGAATGAGTTGCAGCTGCAGGACTTACAATTAAATCCTTTGCTGCCAGGGAATATATCTCTGCCAGTTAATCAGTTTTACACTGGCCCAAATGCAAAGCTTCTTGTTTGTGCCCAGCATTTGAAATGGTTGTCACGAGCTGGGCATAAACGTTGTGACCCGGCTAATTAGTTAAAATGATTCAAACTTTCATTCACACTTTTGATGACGCAAACAGCCGGAGGTTATGCAAATGTTTAGTTATGTGTTCGTTTTGGATAAAAATAAAGAATTAAAATCTCATTTGTGCAAATCTCAACTATGACATGGTAAAATAAGACAAAAAAAAAAAAAAACACTGCGATAAAGTTATGCACATATTTGATAGCACATTAATATACATTTCTCAACATAAAGACAACTGTCAATAGATTAGATTAACATTTTTAATAGGTTCAACTTTAATGAACTACGAACTTAATGTCAAAAGGCTGGCACGCCTTTTAGAATCTATATAAGAAGACGCCCCGCCGTTTCTGTCGATCAGTTCTGCTCGCTTGTCAATTCGCATTGGCTATATCCATCCATTGACATGGGGAGCATGTTACGATATATTGCTTTGTTGCTGGTGCTTTGTGCTGTGGCACAAACGCAGGCGCTGAATGTGTATGCCCGAGCTGCTTTGCCCATTTCGGAGGAGGTTGACGACGAGGAGCCGTCGGCCGAGGGACGCGTCTTTTCGATAATCCGAGATTCGGATAGAGATCAGCCACCGAGATATCCCCACCATCATGACGATAGGCCTATTATTATACAGCCGCCGCCGCCGCCGCAACAGCCCTCGTATCCAGCACCATCGTATCCGCCGCCGCAATATCCATCGCATCCCCCGCACCCGTATCCGCAACCCTATCCACAGCCCTACCCGCAGCCATATCCGTTCCCCGTGCCTGTGCATCATCCGCATCCACCGCCGCCGACAATCATTAAGCCCATCATTAGGCCACACTATCCACGTCCACGTCCGCATCACCACTATGGATCCGGTTTTAGCGGCTACGCTTTTCCACCATTCATCAACATCACCTACTCGCCCGTGTTGACCTCAGGCACAACATCAGCCTCTACCGGCAGCACCTCAACCGGCGGCACCACAACCGGAGACATCACGGACGGCACACGTTCCGGTCTAGACCAACAGCAGTTGAATTATTTAGCCCAACTGTCCCAGCAGCTGCTTGCCCAATCCATTGGCTCCCAGCCCCAGCTGCTGCAGTACTCCAGCCCAGTCGCAGCAGTGGCACCCAATAGTCTAATCTATCAGCAGCAGCCACAGCAATACTATGCACCGCCCACAAGCCAACTGTTTGCCATCAATCTGGACGAGACGCAAGAGCAACTGGATGAGGTTGAGCCTACACGGCCGAAGACCAAGCCCAAGAGACAGCAGTATACAGTGCGTCGTACCCAGAAATCAAAGAAGAAGAACAAGAAGAACAGGAATCACACAAAGCTAGTTTATTTGGCCCTCGAACCAGAAGCCGAGGCACAAGCTCAGTCCACGGTAATGGAGCAGGTTGCCTAGATCAAACTTTTGACTGGCTTACATTTATGCATCGAATGTGCAAAACGAAAAGAAATATATTTTAAAATACAATTGAAATGTTAATTTTTGCGAATTTATTTGAGATGAAAAGGTTTTTGATTATGATGTGCATTGAAATGCGGAATGGGAATATTTGTTGTAAAGTTCTTCATGGGAAAGAAATACTTGGAATCAATAAAAATTGTTTTATAAAACAATTCAAATTTATTGAAATTATTTCCCAAGCTTTTCTTTATCCAGTTTGCATAAAAACTTTTTAATAGCGATCAAAATATTTAATCTCAAAATTGTGATAAAAGAAATCTACGAAATAATGCCAAATAATCCAAATATTTGATAACAGTTCAAACATTTCTTCCAAATGAAATATTTGTTTAGAAATTACCCCAAAATAAATTATGGCAAATTTATCACCAAAAACTTTTTAACAATCTTAAATATAGTTAAATTTCAATTATTCTATAGTCAGGCTTATGAAAATATCAGGAAAATGTCAATAAAGTGTTAAGAATTATAGCCCCTGGAAGTATTTTTTTTCTTCTGAAAGAAATGTAAATTAACTTTTTAGGGCGTGACCTGAGTTCTATTGACTTAATGGTTTTTGACGTCAGCCGTAAATTAAATCAAGAAATCAATTTTAATTAGTTAATATGTCAATTATTTATGCAAATTGAGTTTGGATTTGGAATACCAAAATATGTGTAAAAATGTTGGCAAGAGCATGTTATAAAAGGCAGGGCCAGCTTGTTAACTCGGGCCAGTCACCATCAAGATGTCAATTCGCCAGCAGCTGGAGCTGCTGCTCCTGCTGGCCATAACGCTCGGAACTGTGACAGATGCTGTTTGGGCGCAACAGGAGCTACGTGAAGCGGATCATAATAGGCTGGTGTTGGAACTGCCGAGCATTAATTTCACACGGATCTATAATGAAGTGCCGCTTATCAATCTGGGCCGACTATACAGCAGACTTTTCAACACAACCAAAGAGAAGCCCGTTGAGATGACGGCTGTCAAGCCGGAAGAAGCTGTTGGTCAAAGGCAAGAGCCAACAGCTCAGCCTGTTGTTGTTCTGCCGTATCCTGTCAATGGCTTTTATGATCCTGCCAGTGAAATACAGCGCAGCAATCAAGTTCTCAACATACAAATACCCAATCAGCCAAACGGACAGCAATTGTTTGGCGGCTTTGGTTATGCCTATGGACCGGGATCGGGATCGGGACCGGGGCCGGGACCAGTTCCCGCACATGCACATGTTCACGCTTACGGACATGCTGATGAGCATGGCTCCGGTTCTGGTTATGGCTATGGCTACGGCTATCCTGATTATTCGCAAATCTATGGCTCAAGCAATTACAATAGCCTACCCGGCGTACAGGTGCTGCCACAGCCCTCCTACAGTTCAAATGCTGGCTTTGGAGCGTCCAACTTTTACAATTATGTCAATCTAAACAATGAGGCGATTCGCAGAGGCTATCGCAGGCGTGGCTATGAGCTGCACAATGCTGATTTTAATGATGGCCGTAGCCAGCTCTATGCCGACTTTGCGCCCTATCGACAATGGCTGCAAAGACTATCGCAACAGCTCAATGCACAGCAACAGCAGCTGGCCTACGAGGATTATGACGAAGAGCAGGAGGACGGCTTGGGCTTGGGTAATGAATTCGACGAGGCTGACGATTATGGCGTCGATGAGTATGCTGATATAGATGAGGCCGATTATGGCGATGGCGATGACTTGTGGCGCCAGTCTGATGCCGGCTACAAGTCCAAGACGAAGACCAAAACCAAATTTCAGCCAGACAGAAAACTCAAGTCTCGCCGCAAAAAGCAGCGACTGGCTAAGCATCGATCCAAGCGAATTATTTATTAATTAGTTAGTGTGTAAATAAACGACTGAAAGACCACCTTTATGATATGCTTGTTCTTCTTTGTTTGGGTGAAATTTATAAAAGATTTCACCTGTCTGCTCTGTTTAACAGCGCCATTAGCATTTATGTGGAGCTCGGTGCTCGCTAAATATGCAAAACCGCTTCCAGCGGCATTTAGTTGGTCAGCGAACTCGCAACCGATATGAAACCACAAGCTGCGCTCCAAATTATTGCTCTGACCACGCTCTGGACGGCTGTCCATGCCCAGTCTGGAGAAGTGGAAACGGAACGGATACAGCCGCGCACGACCTTGCCTTTGCTGCTGCTGCTCGGCTATCCCTTGGCCTTGCCACAGCTGGACGTGGCTGGCAGTGTCGGTGTGGGCGGCGGCGGTATATTACCCGGCATTCCCATAAGACGACCACAAGATGAGCCCACGATAACACGTATGCCACCTCAGGTGGCTGCCGATGCGCCGCCACAGAATGCACAGAACGATGCCAGCCCAGATGCCAATGCCCAGATACGTGAACAGTTCATTCAGGGCGTGCTGCAGGGCCTACAATCGATGTCCGCCAATGGAGGACCCGGCCCTACCATACAGCCGGCTGTGCTGGCGGACCTGCTGCAGCAGGTGATGGCGGCACAGACCACCAAGCCGCCGCCGCCAACGCCCCCAGCTGCCGTTGAGAAGGAGGCACAGCTGCCGAGCCACGATGATAGCAGCAATGACAATGACCCCGACTACGATTACATAGACTTTAAGAATGGTTCACGCATCAAGTACGAGCTGGATAATAATCAGCACTTTGCTGATTCGCGGTATTCAAATAAAACGCTGCAGCAGCCAACAGCAGCAGTTGTTCTACCGGTCTACAGCTACAGCTACAGACCACAACAGCTGTACGCTATCTAGAGTTTGTTTTGTGCCGATCGCAGCTCTCGCATTTATTTTAGCGATAATCGGCAAAGGTTCGTTCTAACTCGGCCTGCTTTTGGCCTAAGCCCATAAAGTTGAGATGCTTACAAATTGTTTTTATTGTAGTCAAACTCAAAGTCTATAAGGTTGGCTGTTCCCATCGCGCGGCTGGATAGTTTAAGATTATATATAAGCACTCGAGCTACGCTGCGAACAGTTCAGTTCTGCACGCGGTGCTAAGACGTGAAGTCGCCGGTGAATAAAAAATTTCTTAGGAACATGTTAATTGATCGCGTTTGGCTTTTATTGGTGCTGGCTGGCCCTGTTTGGGCTGAGTTACAAATAAAGGTCCCAGCCTGGAACATACGCGACATTTTTCAACAAATAGCTGGGACTGCAAGCAGCCCAACAGGTCAGCTGCAAAAGCAGCAACATAAGCCTCAACATCAGCAACAGGAACAGGACCATGAACAGGATAATGAAAACTACAACTTCGATTTATACAACCCGAATAACTTTTACAATGATTATTGGAATTACTATAATTATTACAACAGTTTGGCCGCTTACAATTATTACTTGTATCAGCTAAGTTTAGCTAACAGCCGGCCTACAAGACCAAGGCCGACTATAAGACCAACTACGAGGCCCACTACAAGGCCAACAAGGTCCACAACTGCAACGCCAACTACTTCAACGGCTATTCCAACATCCACTGGAACGCCGACTACTTCAACGGCTATTCCAACATCCACTGGAACCCCAACTACTTCAACGGCAATTCCAACATCCACTGGAGCACCAACTACTTCAACAGCAATTCCAACATCCACTGGAATGCCAACAACTTCAACTGCAATTCCTACCTCGACTGCATTACCAACTACATCAACAGCTATTCCAACATCAACTGGAAGACCAACTACTTCAACAGCTATTCCAACTTCAACTGGAAGACCAACTACTTCAACAGCCATTCCAACCTCTACTGGAAGACCAACTACTTCAACAGCTATTCCTACCTCAACAGCGATACCCACCTCGACTGCATTGCCAACCCCCTCAACAGCGATACCCACCTCGACTGCATTGCCAACCACCTCAACAGCGATACCCACGTCAACTGCATTGCCGACTACCTCACCAGCGATTCCAACGGTTTCAGGGTTGACGACTTCCACGGCATTGCCCACTTCAACTGAAGGCCCAACTTCGACAGCCCTGCCGAGTACAATACCCCGTCTTGTCAACAACAAACTGGATAGTTTTGGAATTCGAACTCCTGTATCCGAAGCCGAGGATCATGTATTTGCACCCAGTAATGATGATGATAGCATCGCTGACCTTGACAATGGCACAGAGCATCCTGGAGTTGCTTTAGAACCTCAAACGCAATTTGTGCGACTAACTGACAAAAATGGCAGGCCTTTGATACTGTTAACACCCAACCATAAGCCGCTGCGTCGCCGCCTCGTCGGTGCTCGCCCGGGCTACACCTACTACAAAGCCAGGCCGAGCACGACTCAGTTTTAGCCAAGTTAACTCGATTAGAGATCGTTAGACTAGAAAGTTTCTCAAGTTTGTGATTGGCAAAATAAGATAATAAAATGATTTGTAATTTATTAAACGATAACATTGAGTTTAACTAGGTAAAGTCGTTAATATAAAGCGATTATCTGTTGGAATAGTTGGTATCAGTTGCTGGGACTGGGTATTGTGAAATTGTATAAAATCTTTTGAGTTGCGACAACATCAGCTCAGTATCAAGTCAAAGTCTCAACTGCGTAGTTAAGAGGAGCAACTTAAACGCCCAAAATGTTGTTGAACTCCGTGACCTGGTTACTGATAGCAGCAGGTACGGCATGGGGTAGATCGGTTAAGACCGTTGAATATACTGTGCAATTACCTGTTTGGGATCTTAGTCAAAGCTACTCCCGCATAGTGAATGTCTTTAGAGGCACATCGAATCGTTGGTCTGTGTATAGAAAACAACTGGAAGATCTGAGCGATTACAATCAAAACTATTACTATGATTCGCCGTCATGGAGCAATACCGTGCCGTTATTTCCAAAAACCAAACGTCTGTTGCTTAAGCGCAAACTACGAACAACAACAACTACAACTCAAGCGCCGGTAACAATGCCAACCCAGGAAACTAGAAATTTGAAGAGCTACGATCAACCTATGACAAAATCGTCTCAGGAGTTGGGGGAGACTTCAGCTACTGAGACTCAGCGTGAAAAAGGCTAAAAGCAGACTCCAATAAATGATGGCAAGGTCGATTTAGCGCCACATCCAGCCTCATTAATATGTCCACGCCTGTGTGGTCAACCCGATGAAACGCAGCTGGTCAAAGTGACGGACGAATTTGGTCAACTTTTAAACTTGGTGGCACCTCAACAATCTGCTCTCTCCACAGAATAGAGCACATACAGAGTGTAACTAAATACGATTGAGTGTAACTAAATATAATCTTCAATTGCATTGAAGAGTTTACGACAAAGCACAGCTCATTCGCCTAGAAAGTCATTCAAGCCTTAATTATTAATAATTTATTAACTTTATAAATACTTGTAATGATAATAAATTTGATTTTATCTACGATTAAGAGCAATAAAACAGAAGATGTTAAGCCATGATCATGCCTTTGTCTTTAAATGGAGCAACTGTATAATATCACAGTGAGCGCTCGTCGTTGAAGCACAGTCCAATCGCTGTTGGGATCTGGACCAAATGTGAGATCGAATAAATACGAGAACGATTACCATTAGCCACCACCTTGGCTATATCCTGTGCCAGTATATCCGATTCCATCCAACCCAATTCTACTTGCGCAACCCATCCTCCGCCTACAACTCACCCAACACGCGCCTACAACAAATCCAACGGAGTCGACGACGACAACTAATCATGCAGAGCCCCTGGTAACAGAAAACACGCATATTACTCGAAAATCATCCACACCAATGCCCAAAAAAGCTTCAAGGCCACGCCTAAAGACTTACTTGATCGTACCCAAAACATATATCAAGTGACCTGCTCCAAACGCAACAACTGCTCTCATTAGTCTAGAAAGTTATTTATTTGCATTTAAATATCAATGAAAGCCCGCTGCATTTAGATAAAATGAACCAATAAGCCGTTGAGTCGTCGACCTGGTCGGCTTTCTGTATAAAATCTGTTGCATCGGCTTAGATTCAGTTTAGTTTTGAATGCGATGCATTGCTCGTCGGTGGCCGTCGAAATAAAGTGAAACTTGAAAATTAAATAAAATGCTTCACAGTCTCGGTTATCTTTTGATGATGCTGACTACAGTTGCTTGGGCAGAGCCAGTTGGAATGCTTCCTAAGGTGGCAGCACGGCATATAATTGGAGCTTATAACAATAATGGATACATTTATCAACCTATGATTCTACCACCTATGAAACCACCTGGGTTTTATCCTGTGCCAGTCTATGCAAAACGTAAGGTACAACGTCCTTCAACAATACCTCCTTCTACAACTCTTCGGCCAACCAATCCAACAGGTCGACACACTAAAACACCTCCAACAACGACAACAGAACCAACTACACCTTCAACAAATCCAACAGAGCCCACATTTACAAGACCAACCGAAATCACCAGGTTATTGAGTGAAAGCCAGGCTCATTCACAAGCGAATTCCTACAACAAATATCCATCTTATCCTTACTGGATCTATCCTGTGCCAGTTTATGCCATGCGAACTGTGCATATATCGGAAAAGTCCACGCAGCCTACGCCAACAGCTCCAACAACCCAACAGACGACTCAAACAACGACGGAATTTCACGGGTTTTCCAGTCGTTCACAAACAACGCCTATTCCGCATGGATTCAAGGAAAACGTGAATTCAGAAAATGAGCCCAAGAGCAAGTCACAGTTAGCCAAGAAAGATCTCTTCTCATTTATGTGTAGTTTCTATTCGAGAGCTTGCCAACAATCCAATGAAGCCAGCGTACGGAACTTACTTAAGAGCGCAGCAAATACCTAAACACTAAAAAATAGTCAAAATATAGATGTCTTTTTAAATTGGTAGCCCTAAGCCGTTGGTGTTAATCTGCACAGCGGTGGTCGTGGTTAAAACAAGTGATAATCGTCGTGTATTGTTTTTAATTTATTGTCAAAACTAATAAAGTTTTCTTGATTCGTGGCGCCTTGGGCAACCATCAATCATCGGCATGCGCCTTGTTTCATTTCGAGCTAACTCCGTCTATATAAAAGCACTTGGCTTAAGTCGCTGTTAGTTAAGTTCTGACCCGGGCCCAATCGATTTCTATAGAGTTTGTCGCAGATGTTTATTAGTCAGGCGTGTCTGTGGCTCTTGTTGGCGGCGCCCGCCTGGAGCCAGTCAAATGTTGATCGCAGCCAGTTGAGAATTAATATTCCAGGTTGGGATATAAGCGATTTGTATTCGCGCATAACGAACGCATTTAGCGCACCGCACAAGAAGCAGAAGGTTCGCAGACAGAAAGTGGATCCTGCTGCCATCGATGATTACTATAACAACTATTGGGAGAACTACTATTACCATAATCCGCCGTATGTGGAATACGTGCCTTGGCCGCGTCCGCCACCTAGACCCAGACCCAGACCGACACGCAGGCCACGACCCACGACGACCACAACAAGTCCTCTGACTACAAGCACAGCGGCTGCGACTACAACCACGGCCTCTACAACTATCTTAACTACAACTCCTGCCACTGCAACTTCAACCACAACGCCTAGGCCCAGCACATCAGCTCCCACTAAACTCCCTCCTACAAGCACATCGCCTCCTTCAAGCACACCGCCTCCTATAAGCACACCGCGTCCTACAAGCATTATCACAACCAACCAACCTATCAGGGAATATATTGTATCGAACTTCGCTGACGATTATAGTGCACCAGAAGCTGAGCTCAAGCCGGAGCAACAGTTGTCCATCAAATCGCGACCGCAATCTGTGACCTCGCTGTGCCATTATCATCCCAAGCTCTGCGATCAGCCCGATGAGGCGCACTTTATGGAACTAACCGATGGCAATGGCAATCCACTTATATTGATAGCTCCAGCTACAACCACCCGACGACCGTTCAGACAGACATTGAGACCCACACGCGGAGACAACAGTCAGCGAAAATACAGCAGGGGCAAGAATAAAATTTATATGATAACACCTAAGGCTAAGCGAAAAGCTTCCAGCATTAATTTAGTTCCAAGAAGTCGCTATCATAAATGAAATATAATAAGATATGTAAACAATTAATTAGTAATTGTCTTTATGTTACGTCAAAGTTTGACTAAATGATAGTTGGACTAACAGGCGAGCAGGTTCAACGGTTCAACTCCAACTAGTTGGGAATTTGAGCAGTTTTTTAACACTGGCAATACAGAGTAATATTTACAACCATTTAGATAAAATGATTCACAGGAAAGTTAAAACATATTCCACGTATCTTACATCAATTTGATATGATATGCGTAAATATTAATTAGGTGTTTCAAGAGTTCAAATTCATACACTTTCATTTTCATAAACGAGTTTGAACGGGTTTTTGTTGGGATTTCGCGCAGTTGAAACTATTTGCCAGTCGCAATCGAGCCGCGAGAGCAGCTGGTACTTAATAGAAGGTGTCGCAAACGCCATGTGCGCATTACGTGGAACTATACTCTGGCTGCTTTTACAGTTGGCCAAACGCAGCGACGCTATTGCCCCGTCTGGCATCGAGGCACTACAGCAAATACCTCAATTAAGCTACGACCAGGTGGCGCTCATCGCTGGCAATGCGACAGCCCGTTGCCAGCTGATGCCGCAGCTCTGCGACTGGCAGCTGCATCTGTACGAGGGCCATCCATTCCAGGTGGAGCTACCCAGCAGCCAAGGTGCTGTAGGCGAGCAGGTGGAGGTGGTGACTCGACCAGCCGCTGGCACATCCACTGCTTCCCCAGACCTGTCACTGCTCAGCTTTGCGGTGCCCGGCATCAACAACAACCACGAGCTACTCATCTATGCGCAGGTGGAGACGGTGTCCAAGCCAAAGCCAAAGCGAAGGCCAAAAACAAAATCAAACTCAAAGTCAAAGTCAAGGAAAAGAAAGCGTCTGCTGGCCAACAACATAATGCTTATGTAAACAAAAAGCCAAGTTCAAAAGTACCGCTACGGCTGTCTAAATTCAATAAATCAAAACAAGCTAATAAAAAATGAATAAAATACAAAACAAAAAAGCCACTTAAAGAGCTAACGATTCATGTTAGTTTCCAGCTATTCAGTAGCCGAGGCTGTGCTCACACGATAAATAAAAACTATTAGCTCATTAATGTCTAATTCACGCCAAGCGCCAACTGGAAGCCGTTCGACCGCTTTCAACTTTAACCCGTGGCCGGGCGCGTGTCACAGCTGCTGACCTGGACCAAAAAAAAAAAATAAACCAAAACAAGAATGAAAAGATCTTTGTGGCAAGACGAAGATTAAATACACTTATAGGCATATTTGTAGCTTGCGAGTTTGTTGAAGATATGTTGAAAAACGCCAAAAAAAAAGAACACAGACTCATTTTCTGACCGATTCTTCCAATGGCAGCTGTATGATAAAATAGTCCGATGTAGATGCCATTTGTAATAGATATAAATTTAAATATATCTCTATATGTAATACATTACATATGCCCAGCTTGGACAAGACATATAGAGATAGATAAAACAAAAATGTTCCACCTGTAATTCCAATGATATAGTCCACCGATTGAGTCGGGTCGGATCGAGTCGGGTCGATATATGTACGGCATATGACAATTACTTTGCATAGAAATAGACAGACATTTTCTAAATGTACTGATCAACAATATATATGTATATGCATGATAGCTTCGCAGATGTCTGACAATATAAACATATCCCACAAAAGGGTATATTTTATTCACAGTTTATTTGGCGTGAACTAAGCCATCTTTATGCTCGTCTTTTTGTTTGCTTAATTAGTTATTAATAAATTAACCGGCAAGCAGCATTTTAATGAAGTCAACGCGTTGTCAACGCAACAGCTTTAAAGTCTTTCGGACCGTAGAGAAAACCGGCGTAAAGGTCGCACAAATAAATCAAGAAATATGCTTATTTATTATTTAAAGAGATTTGCATACTTCAAGCTGTGGCAGGAAATAGAAAGCGCAAGTGAAACTCGCTAAAAATCGGGCATTAAATAATAAAAGCGCAAATAAATATTCATTAGCTGGCTTTTGACTTAAGGATACAAGTGTATATAAAGCTTTAAAATGTAAGCAAAATAGTTAAAATTGAATTTTTCTTTCTGGAAATAAAATTAAATTATTTTATTTCCATGCCTGGCTACACTGAAAACTATTAAAACTGTTCAAGCAGCTTTAAGGTTGCAAATCTTGTTTTCTTTCAAATTGTTATCAAAAATTGTTTACTGTGCAGCCAATCGTAAAAAGGATACAAGTGTATACAAACTGTTAAATTGAACGGGAAACTTAAGAAGTTTTTAGCTTTCATTGTTGCGCATTTACGATTATATTTTATTTATATTTTTTTTTCTATTACCAAGTCCGAAAAACTTACATGCTGGCTTGTCGTAATCAACACAAAGAACCTCCAAGCGGAAATTCAATTCAATGCTGGACAAGACCGAGACCCCGCCCATGCTCAATAAGCTAGCTTTTGATATTGGCTTTGGCCCACACACACATGGAGACCCCCTCGCCACCCGCCTCTCATATCCGCTGGGCACGCTCGTCGTCCGCCTCGTCGGTCATGCTATCATAGATGGTATTCAAAAATTTTCTAATTTCCGCATATGGTAGTATCTGCCACCAATTTGTCGTAGTTTCGATATCCTGCTCATCAGTAGCTGCTGCACTGGGTCGCCGTTGAGCGCCCCTTCGTTTGCCTTTGCCCTTGCTGGGAATTTTGTTACCCATTTTTAGGATTGGCCTGCGTATGGCCTGGCTGGAGCTGTTGATTGCCATGGCCGGGGCTTTGACATCTGCTGTGGCAGTCGTCAGCTTTTCATCAGTTGGAGCTGGTCGAGCCGTACTCGTTGGAGCGTTGGACTGCGCAGCACTTGAAGCATTGGGCTTTGTATCAATTTCATTTGGTATCTTGGTTTTTGTTTGTGTTTGCCTGCGCTTGGACTTCGGTTTGCTGGCCAGGCGCAGTGGCTTATCTGCTGCCCCGGCTTCAGCTTCAGCTCCAGCTGCAGTTGGCTTGGTCTCTGGCTCTGGCTCTGGCTTTGGCGGCATATTCATGTCATTTGCTTGGGCATCATTGTCATTGTGCCTGTCACGTTTCTTGGCAATGGCAACGTCATCAACGCTCTGACCCTTCTTTGACTTCATCTGCAACTGATGCGCCTGATGCAGTTGCTTTTCCTTCTGCTGCTGCATCTCGCCCGGCTGATGCGCCTTCATCTCCTCCTTTGCCTGGGTTTGCTTTACCTTCTGCTGTAGCTCTACCAGCTCCTGTTTCTGTCGCTCAACCTGCTCTTGCTTTGCATTGACAACTGTCTCCAAATGCTGCTGCTGTCCTGGCTCGACAGCTGTTGTTGTTGTTGCTGTTGATTCCATTTCGATTGTTGTCGCATCATTTGCTCGCTCTTTGCTGTCATTTGGCACTTTGGTCTTCTTAGACTCCTCCATTTCGGATTGCTTCGCCTTCATAGAGCTAATTGCTTCAGTGTTCATCACAATTTTGCTAGAATCGACCTTCTGTGTTACACCCTCACCCTCACCCTCACCCTCCCCGAGCACAGGTAATGCCAATTGTACATTCAATGGACCCAGCTGCAGCTGCTGCTCCTGCTCCGGCTCCTCCTTCAGCGGCTGCTCAGACTCTGTCTTGGCCTCATCCAGCGTGTTAATTAGCACAATTTTCCTGTTGCCCTTGCTCTCCACGTGAAACTCGTGCGAATATATTTTCGCTTGATCCAAACTTAAGTTCATTTGCAGCTTGGCCAATTGACTGTTTAGGGCAGCCAATGCCGACGGTTCCAGGCTGCCTTCGAAATCAGCAGCCGATTGTCTCGGCTCTCCATTTCGGGTCGACGACTCCCCGTCGAGATTCCTGTACTGCCCCTGCGGCAGGGCCCGCAGTCGACTGCTCTGCGCAAGCTGCTCCAGCAGCTGGCCCATGGGCAGCGCCTGGCCGGGTCGTGGCAAATGCCCCACCAGATTCACCATGGGCTTATTGTACGCATAGGCATCCACATCGAAGGCGCCGTGGACAGCCGCACGTCTCCAGTGCTTGCGCGGCACCTGGCCAAATTGGGCCGTAGCTGTAAGAGATTTGGCTATTAGCTGGACTTTCACTGGTAACCAATTCGTGTCTCTGCTTTACATGCTGCCAGGCTGATGAGCACCAATAACAATGATTTGGCCAGCATAATTTGGGCGTTGGGCGTGCCGTTCTCTCATCGACTAAACCGATATCCGCACACTCAACCAATTTTATTGCCCTCCAATTTGGGTCAGTCGCAGATCGAGTCGTCGCGGGGGTCTAATTTGCATATGAAGAATCATTCGAAATGTTCTAAGAATGTGCAAAACTTTGTCAAAATAGCCCCCACCCATATATAAAGAGAGAAAAAAACAGGTTTCGCAAATGGCCACAAGCAACGGCACTTTTGAAGCCGTGACGATTTGTGCTGCGAATACACTCAGAGAAAAGCTGCGTGCTAAGTTCGATTCTTAAACTTTCAAGAAGATTTCGTATATATGTATATTTGTTTAAGAATGTAAAGTATATTTAGAAAGATTTAGTTTAAGCGAAAAATACTTATTTTTAGAATAATCACACTTAAAATAGTTCGAGAAATAATATTTTATCTAGAAAATTCGTGCTTTAAACAATGCTCAAAAAAATGTAGAGCCAAGCTTTTTACATATTCTCCTATTGCAAGTGAAAAATGCTCTAAATTTTCTCCAAGTGCGCTATTGTTAATGCTGTTGGCCATAAAACTTGATTGTTATGGAAACAACAAATGGCCGTGTCAGGCGCTGACACGCTGACCTGTCGCAGGGCCTTGACCAATTCGATTTTATGCGCTGCTTAAAGTCTTAATAAAGCCCCAGCGAAAGGTGAAAGTTCAGATTAACATATCAATGCTGCGAGACAGTAAAAAAACACACACACACAATGGCTGGGCGAAAGGAAAGTAAGTGCCGAAACATTCCACAGACATTTCACTGAAAATGTCAAAAGACAAATTGCATTGTCTGACAGGAATACCCCTACTACGACAACAACAACACAGAAAAAAAAGTGCAATTCAATTTCGCTGGCATTTTGGGAATTTATTTAGCTATGAGAACATGTCAAAAACAGTTAAGCGAACGAACCCGACAAAGCAAAGAGAATTCCCCAAAAAAAAAAACGAAAAGACAAAACGAAAAGAAACTCCAAAGCAAAGCAAGGCAAACAGACTGACAGCTTGCACTTAGAGCACTTAAGATAACTGTATCTTGAGACAAGTGCAGGCCCAGGTCCAAGCGCTGATGATGTCCACAGTGGGATGAAGATTTATGAAAACTGTTGACAGTTGGTGCTGCGAACCGTAAACAGTGGGCCGCAACCGAACGAAATTTGCATGCGGACAATGGTGCAAACTGCACAAATGGCGTTGCCAATGAATGCAGAACCATAATGCGCAAAAGAAATAAAATAACGAAAGAACAGTTATGTTTGGCGTGCCGAAAATTGAATACCCTAGCAAGTGCATAGCAGCTGTGTAGTATATGCTTACATACTTGATATGGTTTTTATACTAAATCACTTTTCATCCGATCTTTTCTATAGGAGCAATATTTAATTGTAATTAGAGCCGATCCAACTATTTATGCCAGTTGCACTCGTTTGGCCAACTCCAATATGCCCCTTTTAACTCATTTGCATTGCTTGCAGGGTATAAAAATGCGATAAAGAGAAAAGAGCAACTGACATACAGATAGACATCGTGACGAATAGGCACAAAGGCAATTGCAGCATGTGAGAGTGAGCGAGGGGGGGGGGGGGGGGGGGGGCGAGAGAGAGATTGGGAGATGAAATACCAAGTGCAAAGTGAACGAAAACAAAAGGCATAAATGAAACACTTTTAAAAATGCTTATTCCTTGTACAAGCCGCATAGGGTACTAAGAATTGTTTGTCTGTTATGCAATGCAAATATATAATAAATATGTTCAAATGAAACTTACCTAACACTTATTCACTTTTAGTTATTAGTTTTACACAAACACCACGAAAAAACACGAGCACAAACAACGGTTAACATTACGCGAGCAGCAGAGTATTGATAGAAAACGAATAAATATCATTTAAATTTGCGGCCACGGCTTGTCGTACGAAACGATTCAGCATGCAGTTCACAATTAACAAACTTAGTGCGTAATAAGACGTTAAACGAGACAAGCAATTAATTATTTTATTTATTAACTTCTCATAATAACTCACAAACTTCGCAATAATGAACGCGCCTAGTGAACACACGCGCAAGCGATCCTTGACTGCACGCGTTCATGCCCCGTATCGATACTATTGGCCAGTAATCGATAGCTGCTTGCATTGAGTACATTTGCCGCGGTGACCGTGGGAAGTTGAGATATTTTCTTATTGTGCAAAGTTTTTAGAGTTTTTGAGACAAGCAATTAATTATTTTATTTACAAACTTCTCATAGTAACACAAAAACTTCGCAATAATGAACGCGCCTAATGAACACACGCGCAAGCGATCCTCGATTGCGTGCGTTCATTCCCAGTATCGATACTATTCGCCAGTAATCGATAGCTGCTTGCATTGAGTACATTTGCCGCAGTGACCGCGAGAAGTTGTGATATTTTCTTATTGTGCAAAGTTTTTATTAAATTGTGTGTGTGTGTGTGTGTAAATCTTAAAGTGTGCGCAAACTTAAAAGGGTATTTGAGGTACGTAACTTTCCGGCATTGTTGTAATAAAAGTTTGCTTGCAGCGGCGCGCATTAATGCCAACTATGCCACTTGAGTCCACACTGGAAAGGGGCTGCAATCAGTAGCGGTTGTTGACAGTTGTTCTTGTTGTTGTTTTCTTTTCCTTCTGCTTTTTTTTGTTGCCTGCCGGTGCACTTGCACTGTGCATTCTTCCAGGCGACTGGAAGGTGCCTGTACAAATACAATAGGTCAGGGGGCGTGGCCAAAAGTTAAGTGGATAAACGATGATTGCGTGAGGGGAAGGGGTGGGAGAGGTGGTGGGACGTTTAAGACAAATAAGCGCCAGCGTCTTAATTAAGCAACAACAGTAAACAGCAACGAATGGCAAGTGCATGACTTGGAAATACCCTGTCGGCAGGCTAGAGCTTATATAAAACAGAAACACATACACATGCCTCTAGCTGCAGCTGTGCTTCCTCTTGCACTTGTATGTCAAGTCTGATTGTCTGTTACATGCACAACTGCAATAGACCTTATGTCAACATTTACAGGGTATATATGAATAATGAACAACGATTGGTACTGGCCGTCGGGCTGTGTTCAAGACAACTTAACCATGCCGTCGCTAGGACATGCACATCCACTTGTGGTTGGCACTCGAAATGGGGCTTATTTCATTATTTATTCAATTGCAAACTTTCAACTTAAATGCGTTCAGAGATGGACAGGTCCTTGAGAGTCTATCGGTCAGTTGTTGTTGTTGTTGTTGTTGCTCCTGCTGCTGAAGTGCAAATGCAAACAATTTACTTTGTCATTAGACGAACAATTTGAGCACACTCTATAAAGCATACACCCCACCCCTTGCTCTGCATCCTTCAGCCTTTGTTATCTTTTGTCAATTGCTGCTGTGTCCGTCCTCCTGGTCGGCTGCTCATTTCAGCTACAAATGTCAGTTTTCGCTTTTTTTTTTCCTTCTCAATTGTTGCATTTTTATAAGAAGAAGCGCAATAACAAAGCAAGCAGAAAACAAGCTAAAGTGATTTAGTTGCAGCAAAGCCGACTAGTAGATATCCTCTACTCCTGCGAATTAGTTCTTAAATAGCTTATGTGTTTATTATGCGATCGTTTTATTGACTTGAAGTTTGTATTCAGATATGGGAATATACCTAAAATCGAATCTATGACAATTATGTCTCTCTCTCTTTAGTTTTGTGGAAAACTACATAAGATTTACTAAAAGTCAATACTCTAGCTAATATTCTAGATAGTATTATATGTTAAGAACTGCGATCCTAGATGTTATATTAACTGAAAATCGATTTAGGGAAAGACCCGAAGGTACTTAAGAAATGTATAATATATGATTACAGAAACGTCTGCACAATTTCAATATGCCTTTGTTCCAGCTATTTACAGGGTATGCAAAAACAGATAAAACCATTCACAGTACTTTGCACATTTTCGTTTAATTTGAATTTTTCTATGCAAATACCGAGCTATAAAGGCAAAAAATACGACAACAAAAATTTCCACAAATTCGAACATTGTTTTTTTTTTTGTTTTTTTTTTTTATTTGGATTCGTTCTAGCAAGTTTTCGGGTCTGTGCCAAATTGTTATTGCAATTTTCTTTGTGTCTCTTGTGCATTTTCCAGCTAGCCGCTTGCCGCTTGCAACTCTCGCGGTTCATTGCGCCTCTCGTTTATATGATATTCGCATTTTTGCCCCCCCCCCCCCCCCCCCCCCTCAGCCCGTCAGCCCCATCTTCACATGACACATACCCTGCTAACATGTATTTGATGAGTTTGTCATAAAGCTTACCGCAACCTGCTGCAAATTGAGAAAATATTTGCTTTACTTTTCATACTAAATAAATTTGTATGTGGCAGCTGAGCTGTCCAAATGAAAATCTCTATTCTAGGAGTTGAAAAAGGTTTCGGTTAAGAACAGTATAGTTTATAACTATATGAAATAGTTATAAAAATTATAACAATAGTAAACTTTCTTTTAGCTCAGCATAGTATTAAATAAAGCTCGACTTAATTATGCATATCTTGGCTGAATTATCATTATTAACAAAGTTTTCTTTAGCTTGTTTTAATATTAATAACATGTCAAAATTGTATATTAACAAAAATGTCTTATTCTAAAGAATTCATTAGTTTTATTCGACATTTTATAAAGCTTGGGCATTTGTGCTAAGAGAAAGCGAAGTTATATTTCATTGATTAGGGTATTGTTTCAAAGAATGGGTAACCATATATTATGGATAAATAGTTATTCCCCGCATTTGTTTTTGAATGCTTTTAGTTGCTATTATTTTATCATTAAATAGTATGAAATATGTATATATATATGAGACGTATCAACAAACGAGTTGATATCTAAGATCATATCCATTTCTATGCCAACTATTGCCATGATGCTCTGCCTAGTTCCTCTCTCTCTCTCCCTCTCTTGCTTAGTTTTCTCTCAACACACCTGT